AGGTCTCCTTTTATAGAGGAAGACAAAGGCCTAAGCTTCTTAAAGAAGCTAAGGCAAAAGGGTCAAGGAGGTCAATCTTCTAAGAAAAGCTAAGGCAAAGGGTCAAGCTTCTTGAGGAAGCTAAGGCAAAGGGTCAAGCTTCCTCAAGAAGCTTGAGCAAAGGGTGCAAGCTTCTCCAAGAAGCTTGAGCAAAAAAGAGTGCAAAGGGTGCAACTCCTCCATACACGCATGGAGGACAGGTCCGCGCACTCCAGCTGGCATAGCTGGCATGCACAATGCCTGAAAAAGGCAAAAAAGAGGTATCGGCCAGAGAAAGAGACTATCGGCTAAATAAATGGCCGGCCGACCACACAAAGAGCCGATACGCCTAACATAAGTGCTGACCGACCAAATATTTGGTCGGTAGCAGAAAAAGCAAGGCTGGTGGCTTCATGCCATGGCTGGTGAGTTTTAGGGGATGGCTAACAAGCCACTTCCTACCCTCAAGTGCAAAAACAAACAAGTTCTTGGTGCAAAACCAAGCACAGAATAGGCAAGTTAAGAGATCCCGAGGCAAGGTGCGCGGCTGAGACCTCCGAGAACTCAAAACGAACATGAACATAGATGATCACCGAGCATTCAAACGATGACGTCCAAGTCTTGAGGACGGTCAAAAATGGGGTGTCTACAATACCCACTTAGTCACATAAGCATCTTATCATAACTATCTTTATCAAGCGAGATAAACCCATTGTGGTAAGACCCACTCCCCACGTACCCAATATATTCAAACTTGGTATGCTCTGATACCAAGTTGTAATACCCCGAAATAAACACAATAACTCAACTACAATATTAACAAATGACAACAACAAGAAGATAATTATATTCCATTAAGTTCCAGTTAAAGTTTATAAAAGAGTAACATATGTAGATATCCTTGAATCTATAGTATATATTACACAATAGAATGAACTTCAAGCAAAAGAAATGCCCTAAAGGCTTACAATTTTCCAATATGGTGCTTGGTTACAACAAAATGGATTTCAATCCCATACAGTTAAAACCCTAGGCTTGTACAAATACATACAACAAAATAAACAAGATGAAGCCCTCTCTTCCAAGTCCTCCCAAGTTATTGTCTTAGCGGAGGCGTATTATCAGCACCTGCAATGGTTTTCCCACATAGAGTGAGCTAAAACCCAGTATAAATAATCCAAAACAACATATGAATCTTAACAAAGATATAAGGGTGAAATCTATATGCAATGCTAGTGACGAAACATTTTATATCTCCTTCAAACCATGCAATGATAGGTTTAGATCATAGTTCATAAAATATATTTTTTTCAATGGAAAACAGGACAGTGAATCATATCTCTAGAAATCTCCAAAACAAGTATCACATTTCACAGAAATTTCGTCCACGTGAAACTGTAAACCGACACCCATGTAAACATAGGCTATACAAGCACTATTATTGTCATTTTACGGATATTTCTTTTGCTAGATCGACACTCACATATACATGCATTTTTGGGATTTTCACCCTAGACACACATGCCAACTTATTTGATGTAACAACAATTCCTTTCTAGATTCACCCCTTTTCTCAAAACAATATACATTCTTTACGAAATAAATATACAACAATGCTCAATACAAATGAATGAGAAATTGGTTTTTAATTCTCCTAATTCCAATGCAATTTCTACAACAATCATAGTTATTCTTCACCGATAGCTCAAAATAGATATCTCTAAACGAATAGATAATTTCAATAAAGATAAACTTTCCAAATTTCATGATGGGTGATAATACATATCCAACTCCAACATCCCCAGCTATAACAACTTAGGGGTTGTTTGGGGTGTCCTAAATAAGTGCACTTTTTGTTTTTTTGGACTAAAAATTGAAGAAGAAAATATAGATGTTTGGGTTAACTTTTTGACTTTTTATGGAAAAATGTGTAATAAAAAAATTGTAAAAATTAGTTTGTAGGAGAAAATTAGGATTGAGAGTTGTGCAGCTGTAATTGTTGACTTTTGGTGAATAGTGTTAACTTTTAACTTTCTGAGTAACTTTTTGACTTTTTGGCTTTTCCTGGACATGCCAAACTTGGCCTTAATGTCACCATTTCAACATCAATTCCATTTATCAATACAAAATCAACATTTGAGATTTCTAGGGAAAATACCCTCTTTCCTTTATAAAACCATTTCCCAAGGTAAAAACCCTTCTTTTCATCATGCCTCAACAATAACCATATTTCTACAATCATTTTCGCTGAACCATTTGAAAACCCTTTTTTTTATTTTCGAACCAAAACCCGAGATTGTTCAAATATCCATTTCTTTCACAAAGTGGTTTTATAAAAACAAATAACTAAGTTAAAACTCATAAGTAAGTGTGGAGAATCCCTACCTGAAGCTTAGAATATGGAAGAAAAGAACTCAGAAAAACTTGATGTTAACGAAACCATGAGCCACTCGGATCAAAAGGAAGCCCTTGAGATGATCTACAATCTATTTCAAAGGACCAAGATGAAAGGATACCTCAAAGTGAGTAGATCTAGGGATCTAAGTAAGAAAAAGTTAAGTTTAGAGAGAAAAGAGAGAAATCATAGGTTGAGAGGAAAAAAGATGGAAAATAATAAGAGGAAAGTGTTTTGGACCCTATTTATAGTGGCTAGGTATTAATAGAATAATAGCTTCAAAGTCAAATGAAAAGAACAAGTCAAAAATCTCTAAAAGTAGGGTCCAAGCCGAACAAAACCTAGAAAGAGTCACAGGGGTCAACCTTCGCGACAGTGGTGTTGACCTTCAAGAAGAAAAACTAAGATACTAGTGTTTGGCAGCAGAGAAGGGTCGATCCATAGAAGTAGTGGTGTCGAGCCTATATTTTAGAAGACAACCTAGAATAACATAGGAAGAGAAGGATTGACCTTGGGAACCCATGGTGTCGACCCTATATTTCAGTAGCTAATTCCAAAAACACAGCAGGACAAGTGTCGACGCCGCCAAAACTGGTGTCGACCCCAAAAGGTCAAAAATCAGGACAAGTGTCGACACTACCAAGACTGGTATCGACCCTATTTTTCAGTAGCTCCACCAGGAACACAGCAACAAGGAGGTGTTGACACCACCAAGATGGGTGTCGACCTTGGGAGCAAAACAAAACAAGGAGAGAGGGAATGAACAATAGCTATGGACATGGTTTCCCGGATTCAAGAGCATTAAATGGGTTGGGTCTAAGCCCGGATTTCTATAACTACCATCCACTAATGGCTACCAATGAATCCTCTGTTTATTCCGATTGGTGTTCTCCTTACATGTCTCCTTCAACTTCTATTGCTGAACTTCATTTCCATACGCTGCTATCCTCACCTTTAAGGCCTTGTCGTCACACCACAGTTCTTCAGCTTTTTAGATTACCATCATTGCTACAACCTCACAATCATATCTGACGAACTCGAATCTTGTTCCAGTTGCTTTCCCTCTTTTAATTAGGATGAATACATCCTTCACCACTCCGTAGTTGCTAAATAGGGTAAAGAGACTTCTTGGTTCCATAGATTCCGGTAGGTTATCCACAAAAATCGTGAACATCCCTGGTCCCCTTGATTGAACATGTTGATATCCTGGTGGCCTTCTAATGATCACCGAGTTCCACCATCCTCCTTTCATTTGTGTTTAAACCTTGACATTTTGTGATCTTAAAATCATTTTAATGTCAGTTTGCCACTTAATATCATTTTATTGTCTCATAACGAATAAATTATTTTTACAAAAATGTTATGTGAGACATTTGGTAGAAATTTTGGTAGAATTTTTAGGGTCTTTAGCATTACTCTTATTTTTAATCATAATTAAAGAATCACAATCATAATTAAACATTACTTAAATCTTAAAGGGTTGACCAAGGTCATGAAGACTTGAAAATGAGAAAAATATTAAAGTTGTGTTAATTAAAACATAGTTGGTTCAAGAGAATGAATACCTTATGAAAAAATTACTTTCAAGATGTCTTGGGTCTAACCATAATATGAGATATTGTGAAGTAAATGTCAATATTTAATGTCATTCATTATTAAATAAAAGGGTAAATTACAACTCCAACCCTTAATGTTTTCCAAAAATACATATTTTGTTCTTATGTTTTGAAAATTACAAATATTTTCTTATTAGAATTTGTCATTCAATTGACTTAACAGAAAAAATAAAATTATCTAAATATCCTCTAACATTAAAATAAAATTATCATATTACTCATTTTCATCCACTATTCACCAAATCACTCTACCAACAACTACAATATTCTTCAATCTTCCTCTGCGACATACCAAATACTTGTATACAATAATAACGGTAGTGTTGATTAAGAGTAAGAACATTATGATGGTTGGTCAAAATGGTGTTACTAATTGAGAGAAAATAAAAAATAAAGGAGGTGAGATGGGGGAAAAAAAGTGTATTATTTTATAAATGTTAATATATGTATTTTTTGGAAGAAAAAAAATTTATTACTTACATCATGCAGTATGTTAATTTGATTTAATAGTTTATTAATGGAGGTGGACATTTGTTATGTGATTGAAAACTTCTAATAGTAAAATATAATTTCCTAAATGTGATGAAAAAAGAAGTTATATTTTTTTATAAACCTCGTGGGATATATTTATCATTTATGTAAATTAAAATTACCCTTGAATATTGGTAATTAAAAACGAAAACTTTTCTATATTTATAACCCTCTTGTATATATATAAATGGATGTCATTATCATATTTCTTAAAAACTAATTATTTAAAATAAAATAAAAAGAAATTACAATGACTTGGACGTTTAAGTCAAAATTTGTGACTCATTGAAAAGCATCTTTCATTTAGCTGTTTGCCCACTCTCCACGCCTCTTTCTAAATTCTAGAACCACACGGTGTATGAACCAATAACAGCGAATATAATATAAAGAACACCAATCACGTGAGATCATGTTCTTCATAGCCCATCCCTTCTGATCTTCACGTGTCACAAAATGATAGGTTATTGATCATGCTTTGCCATATTGAGATTAAACATTTGTATTCCCGTAATTTCTTCTAAATCATTCACAATGATTGGATATATATTAAGATTTTTAAATGTTAAAATTCTCATATAATCTAGTGATTACGAGTGATTTGAGACAGAAATAAGAATATTTAGGAATAGCGGATGCTTGCTCGTATTATCCGATCCTAGCCTTCCTTGTTGAGACTTTTACATATAAACATTGAACTCTTCCACCAAATTACATATAAACACACATATTTTGTATCCAAAACCTCTTAGCTATTTGTGAAGAGAGAAAGAAAGAGAAAAACAATGGTGAATAAGGCCTGTTTGTTAGTTTTCTTCTTTCTCTCAATCTCTTTATTTGTTGATATAAGCCATGGGAAGAAACAGAGTGAAGTTCTTGACGATCTGTACAGAGGCAAGTTGAAGAAGAACTCTGCGATCGACACAAGCCTTTTCGAGGCCATTCGAGATGTTGATGGAGCTGAGGTTTATCCACAAGAGGGACTGAAGGAGAGAGATAGAATTGTGAGATTGCCGGGGCAACCGAATGTCGAGTTCACTCAGTATGGAGGGTATGTCACACTCAATGAGTCGGCGGGTCGAGCTTTCTATTATTACTTCGTTGAAGCGCAAGGACAACAACAGTCTAATCACTCATTGCCTCTTCTTCTTTGGCTTAATGGAGGTATTTTTGAATTTTGCTGCCCTCTCATTCCATACGCTTGTGTTTTTGGTTGGTGATGTAAATGTCACTAGCGTGAAGTAACTTGGTTGGGCTTGTCCTTCTTACTTTCCTCTCATTACTCTGTGTGTTTGATTTGAATTTTTTGAATTAAATTTTTTGAAAATTAAGTTTTTGAATTTTTGTATTTTTTTGTTTTTAGTGAATATTTTTAAAATTTTAAATATTTTTTTTATTTTTTTAAATACACATTACTTATATATATCTAAGAAGTAAAAAATTTGTGAAAAAAATTAATAAATACATAAAAATATAAAAAAATATACTGAATTATCGTATTTTTTTTTGTATTTTTGGTATTTAGTGAATTTTTAAAAGATTTTTTTCAAATTTTTTTTACTTTTTAGGTATATTTATGTTAGGTACACTACAAGAAAAAGCATTTTCAACGATTAAAAAATTCCCTTTCGTCGTTGAAAGTAGCATTTTCGGCGACTAAAAAAGCATTAGTAGCCAAAAGTGAAGACTTTTGGCGACAAAAACAATTTAGTAGCCAAATGTATAGGTATTGGCGACTAAAAATCTATTTGGTCGCCAATATATGACTTTTACCGACTACAAAAATTTTATTAGCCAAAAGTAAGGACCTTTGGCGACTAAAAGAATTTAGTAGCCTAAAGTGAGGCATTTGGCGACTAAAAACATGTTTAGTAGCTAAAAGTGAGGCTTTTACCGACTACAAACATTTTAGTAGCCAAAAGTAAGGCCCTTTGACGACTAAAAAAAATTTAGTAGCCTAAAGTGAGCTTTTCGGCGACTAAAAACATGTTTAGTAGCCAAAAGTGAGCTTTTTGGTGTCTAAAAAGAAGTTTAGTCGCCAAAAGTGGTAATTTTAGCGCGAGAAATTTATTTTTTAATAACTAAAAAATAATTAGTAACCAAAAGTATAAAATTGGCAACTAAAATTATGTTTAGTCGCCAAAAGCGGTCTCTTTTTTTCTACTAAATAATTTATTTTTAAATAAATTATGTTTAATAAAAAATGATTATGTTTATATATATACTTTTATATTAATACGGGTTTATGTAGTATATAAATAATATATGTTGCATATATAATCATATGGTGTTATGGAGGCGTAGTGGAAAGGGTGTGTTGTATAAGGTTTATGATGTGTGGAAGGTTCATGGTTCGAAAGTTTAGAAGTGCAATGGGGTCAAAGGGGTCATTTTTTTTTTCACAAATAAGCTTTTGGCGATTAAAATGTTTGGTCGCCAAAAGCTTGAGTATTGGCGACTAAAAAAATAGTCGGTAAATGTATAATTTAAAAAAAATATAATTGACCGTTGACGACTAAAAATTTAGTCGCCAAATGTATAATTTAAAAAATATACTTGAGCTTTGGCGACCAAAGTTTTAGTCGCTACAGACTTAGTTTTTGGCGACTAAAAGTTTTTCTAGTCGTCAATACCTTTTCGCCACCGTTTTCCAGTGACCAAACCGGCGATTAAAAAATTTAGTCGGGGAAACTTAAAAACTGATTTTTGGCGACTAAAAATTGACTTTTGGCGAAAAATTAAAAAAATTGCTTAAAATATTAAAAACATTCAGTAAAACAAAAAAAAAACACAGAAAAATGATAAAGTAAAATTTTCTGAAAAGTATTTTTGAAAAACTCTAACTAAGCAATAAGAAGTTCTTTTTTAAAAAGAGGTTAAAAGTCAAAATTATTATTATTATTATTTTTTTTACATTATAAGGAGATCTTTTTTGAAAAGAGGTTAAAAGTAGTTTTTTTAGCTTTTGATCTCTTTTGAATCACATTATTTTTCTAATTTTTTTACACATTAAAAAAATAAATAAAAAAATAAAAAAATTAACTTCTAACTTACTTTCCAGAATAACCCAAAATTAGTGAGTTAGTAATTCAATTATCATAAAAAATTAAAGGAAAATGTTTGGAACTCCACAAATGAGGATCCCCACGATTCCCATTGATGTTTTGACCATTGATATGTTTGAATTTTTTTTACTATCTCTAACAGTGATATGAATGATTCAAATCATTTTGAAAATTATGAAAGATTATTTTTTATGAAGATTTCTATAATTACTAAAAATTAAAATAATCCGTTGACTCAAATTCTTAACCTTTAATATTTTTACTATGGCTAATTTGGCATAATATAAAAAAGTCAAAAAGTTAATTATCCTATTTAAATCACATCATCTTATTTAAATTACATCACATCTCTATCATATTACTTCAAATCTAATTTATATTTTATAAAAAATAAAAAAATATACATATTTAAATCATTCTAAACAAACCCCACAAGAAACAGCTATATAAAGAGCACTTGGCCAATGCCCGAGTGTGAGTGGGATTTACTTTTTTCCAATGGTGAATTTTTCTTGGAGATACTAAAGATTCTCAACTACTACAACTACAATATGTGATATTTTGGTCATTGCAACTGTTAATCTTTCTTTGACACGCGTAGTGAATGGTATTATGACAATTATTTATTCTTTTTTTAAAACTTCTTAGTAAGAGTAGAAATTTTAACACAATTTAATACTTATTTAGGATGTGTTATATAGATATATTTTTTAATTTTTTTTAGTTACAAAAATAGAGAAAAAAAGATGTAAATATGAGATAATTTTTTGATTTTTTACAAAAAAATGTGTAATAAAATATTGTAGTAAAATCAAGATGACCATTTTATCTTTTTGACTTTTTTAGTAGTTGAATTCAAAAGTCAAAATAATAATTTTGCCATAGTGACTTTCCTCACAAACTACCCTTGAATAGTATAAATTTTTTAACTTTTTAATAATTTTTTGATTTTTTAATTTTTTTAATTTATTTCAAACATGACCTTACTAATCAAGGTTGCTTAATTATTGACAAAAATATGTTACACGATACGCAAAAATATAAAAAATTGATGAGAAACAATATCAAACCAATATAAGTAACTCGCATAAACCATTTGAAGGTTGTTGCCAATTTTTGGAGTTATTTATGAACTATTTTGCATGACTTTTTTAATACCATCTTGTTATATTCTCCTAATTAAACTTCTCTAATATCACCTTAATGATGTGGATAAAAGAATAAAGTTTGAGAGAGAGACGGAGGAATGTGGGTAGGCCTTCACGTGAGTCTTAGCACGACATTGGAAGTGAAATTGGAAGCCCTCAATTGGGAATGAATCGTTTTTCTTTTGGATAATACAAAAATATTAATTTATATACAAATAAATATATCAATTAAAACACAAGACATGCATATGAGATATATAGGATGTGTTTGGTAACGTTTACGTTTTCAGTTTATATTTATAAAAATTTTATAAACTGGTTTTTGTTTATTTTTTGTTTATTTTTAGAAAAACATAAACTACAAACGCGTTTGGTAATTGACAAAATGTTTAAAAAAAATTAAAAATATAAAAAAGAGTGAGAAATGACAAGTGGCGGCAAGTGGCGGCGGAAGACAGTGGGGTCATAAAATCAGTTGTTTAAAGTCTTTTCGACTATTGAGTTAATTTGTCGGATTAGTAGGGTTTGACTTACTCTGCACATCTCGCATTGGAACAAACTGGACTATATCGCGTGATGCCACACGTCCATTTGAACTTTCAAGTCTCTCACCTTTGTCCGCATCCAAAATCTGGACAACAATTGTCAAATTGTAGTGACTTCAAGAGTCAATAGTCAAGAATTGAGACCTTCGGATATAGACAGTAGGCTCAAATTATGCATGACAACTCAACAATAAGACATAGGCAGAACAGAACACCTTTTTCCAAGTAATGGAAATAAAAGTGAGATAGATACCTCCATCTCTTTAAAGTCTGCTCCTCCAACTCCAACAATAAGGATTGACAATGGTAGGTCTGAAGCCTTCACAAGGGCATCTTTTGTTTCTTGGAGATCTGTTATAACTCCATCCTGAGACAGTTTGCTGTACAAAGTGAGATTTGAAAAATAATATATATATATATATATATATATATATGTATATGGCATGATGCCCACTTGATCAAGTCTCTGCTACTAATTTTATTTTATTTTATTTGTTATTATTATTTGATAAATTAAGTGTTTCGAGCATTTTTCATGAAAAAATATATGGCATGATGCCTACTAATTTTATTTTATTTTATTTGATATTATTATTATTATTATTATTCAATAG